ACTTAATTGTACGTATAATTTTACGTTTTAATTGATGTGATATATATGATGACATGGCAAGATTATGTGGCGCGTCGTATGCTCTTAAAAAGTTCCTCTTTTATATATATATATTGATTTCCCAGGAAATTTCTATTCAAAAGGAAAGTAATTTCCATTTATCGTAATAATTACGTGGTTAAATTTATTTTCCCTATATAATTTCAATGACATAATTTTGGTTTCATATTCTACATCAAAATAAATTGTTGGTCAAATTTTATGAGACAAGTGGAAAACATTGTTTTATGGATTTTTTACAAGAATATTACTAAAATAAAATCTATTTACATAAATATGACTATTCATTACTACAACGAAGTGTTGTGATAACTTAAGTTCAAAACTTGAACATGAATTAATATGATTTCATTACTACTCTAGTAACTAGTTATATTGTTTTAAACCATCTTTATTTGGTCATATTTATGTAATTATTTCTTGTTTCATTTTCTTCAATTTAAGGAAAAATTAAATGAAGAGCGTTTTCCCATGGTATTGTACATTTATACTCATTGACTAACCTTACAAGTTCAGATAATTTACCAATCCAAAGAGTAGGGATGGACATATGGATTTGATTTAAGGAATTTTAATTAAAATTAATCGATTTAATCAAACCGAACATACCCCATCAATTAAGAGCATCAATTCATAAGTAGGGGTGGACTGGGTTGGGTCGGGCTCCGAATGGGCTTGCGTGGACTCCGGGTCCATAATATTCAGGCCCGATACATGCCCGGGTTAGTACCGAGACCGGGCCAGGTCAAGCCCCAAATAATTTTTTTTGGGTCTTTTCGAATTAATTACATCCCTTCTCCACCCTAGTCATGGATTCGGTTCGGGCCACCCGGCCCGTGACCTGCCCCTGGCCCGGTACTGTGCGGGACTGGGACCGGCCCGGTCCAGCGGTCCGGGACCGGGTGTTTACCCGAACCGGGGGAGATGCGGGGGGCGGGCTCGGTTCCGATAAAAGGTGACTCGGCCCGTCCGGGTTGGGCCCGGGCCTGGGTCACAACGGTTACATTTAAAACAAAATCTTTTGGGCAAAAGGGGCTGTTTGGCTGGGCACCCACTTCCCAAACGGCTATATAGCCGTTGAGTGGGTTGTGGGGGGTAAAAAAAACTATAAATACTCCTAATTTTTCCACACCTCTTCTCCAACTCTTCAGAAATCCTACTCTCTACTCATCTCCATCTTCATCTTCTCAAATTCTCTTATTCTCCATTATATTTTATTTTACTATTTAATACTTATGCAATTATTATATCTACTTATATATTAATTATCTACTTATAAATACATATACTATACTACTTATATTTCTTATCTACTTAATCTCTACTTATTATCTACTTATATATACTTAATACATACATACTACATCTACTTAATATATACTTTATATATATTGTAGTATTAAATATACTTTATCTACTATTAGTATATACTTAATACATACTATTATCTACTTCTCTACTTATATTTCTTATCTACTTATTCTCTTATTCTCCAATCTCAATTATACTTTACTATTTAATTCTTATACAATTATTATATCTACTTATATATTAATTATCTACTTATAAATACATATACTATATTACTTATATATCTTATCTACTTAATATCTGCTTATTATCTACTTATATCTACTTAATACATACATTCTACATCTACTTAATATATACTTTATATATTAAAGTATTAAATATAAGTGTATTACTCATCTTATAGTAGTATACTTATATATTATATACTATAAACATTATATATTAAAGTATTAAATATAAGTGTATTACTCATCTTATAGTAGTATACTTACAAATTATTATAAAGTCTAATAAAGTCTTATATACAATTCTTATTACCTACTAATATAGTTGTAATTATATCAAATTAATTCGAACTATATTAATTAGTATATTAAGTGTATATATATATAAAGTGTGTGTGTGTATATATATATATTTGATTTTTACTAATATATTACTTTTATTACATCTAATTAATATATTAAGTATATATATATATATATATATATATATATACTTAGACAATATATTATATATTAGTTACACTTTAATTAATATTAGTTAAAATCATTCTATTACTAATTTACTCCCATTAATTAGTATACACATTCATACATTTGGCTTATTACATACATTTTGTATTAACATTACTTAATTAGTTAATTAGTATTCCCACTAATTGTTACATTTTTCATTAAAGTCGTTAATTAGTTAATTAGTATTCCCATTAACTAGTTAATTAGTATTCCACTAAAGTGTATTTCATGTTTTAATCTTTCCCTCAATTCTCAATTGTAATTTGTAAACTTGTACTTCATATTTCAAATAAATATGCGTTCATTTTTTCATATGAAGCACTTCTCAAATTAATTATTTAGTTACAAACTTACAACATACAATTATTTGTTTTTAATTTACTTGAAAATGTATTTTATATTGTAATTTTTTTCTCAATTCTGAAATGTAGTTCCTATTTCAAATAAATGCACTTGAACTTTGTTTTTTTTAACGAAACTGGCTTAACTTATCATAACCAAACCAAACACACAAATCCAACTAACATAGGTAACCGTGTGACGACAAGTCTCCTGTCTACCGTCCGTCCAAGGACCAGACTCGGAATTAATCACCTCCGTAGAAGCCATATAATTCGCTGATCCCGCTTTGGACTTACTTGAGCCTATGACTTGTAGACACGACACATCAGCTCCTACATTAGTTTCATAAGTATCTTTGCTGTAAAAACACATCACACCCAAAATAAAAACAAAATCCAGAACATGGAAAATAAACAAAACAAAATAACAAGAGTAAATATATCTTTCGGCAAGAAAAGCCGTAACCAACATCAGTTCTTCTGGCGGGGTTGGGGGCCAGCACCCGCCCCTTCCCCGTTTTTTGGAGAGTCCAGCGCCATAGCATCCTTTCCAGTTTCTTCCCTCGTTTGGTCCTCCCACGTACGGCTTCTCTTCAGCTCTCCCGTCATCCCATCCTCATCTAGCTCTCCCGAGATCATAGCCTTCCCCCGCCTGTCTTAGCACTCTCCCCCGTCTCATGCGATACCACCTCCTGCTCTGGCTTCTTCATACTTGTCATACGCGACCCCCCGCCAGCAGAGCTTCCTTCTGTTATCAGCCATTTGCTTCCCAAGTTTAACTTCGCCTTCCTTCCACTTGCTCTGAGCCACGGACCAAACGGTCTGGTCATAGCCTGTCCTTCCTTTTCATGCAGCAGAGGGCAGAATTTCTCTGCATGCCCAATCATTCCACAGCAGAAACAAAAACATGGCAACTTTTCATACCTAAAATCTACCCAATACCCTTCACCTTTGCTCTTCCTTAAAGTGGTTCCAATTTTTAAGGCCTTCGTAGTATTCATTCGAACTCTCACTCGCATATAAGCCTCTTTTTTGTCTCTAGCTTTTTGTTCATTATCCCAACTAACAAACTCCCCCAAATAATTCCCTATTCTCCTTGCCGTACCCAAAATTTCCAAGCTATAGGGTACATTATGAACCTGAACCCAGATTTCAAATTCATCTAACACCATCTTAATAGGAATATCACCCGGATTAACAACTTTTAGCACAATCAAACTTTGTTCATATAGCCATGGCCCGTTTTCCAGAACCCGATTCATATCAATAGAGTGAAAAAACTTAAATAGATACCTTCGTTCACCAATTTCTTGTATAGTCATCCCTTTGACTGGGAGCCAAAGATCCGCCATGAACCCCCGGAAAAACGGAAAGCGGATAGCTTTATCTGTGAGGATTAACCCAACCACCGGATAGCTTCACCGACCCCACTGCCGAGGCTTCTTCCTCATCATCTTAGATCTGCAATTCATCGTCCTGGCCCCCAATTCCCAGGCCACAGTACCCTGCAACGATCTATCCCACTCGTTCATTCACCTGGACGTTACCCTCCATGCCCACTCCTTCGTCAGAGTCCTCTATCTCGCCTCAAAGCCCTGCTCCGAAGCCTCGCCCTTCGTCCCACTTGAGTTGCGCCACACGCAGAACGGCGAAGAGGAAAACCCTCAGCTCTGAGCTAGGGTAGATTGACATAAATTGTACAGTAAACCTATTATTTCACTAACTTTGTTTTTAATAAACATTTGTATAAACTAAAAAGTATATAAAAAAATCAACTGACCCGGCCCCGGCCCGTGACCCGGGCGGGTGGCCCAGCCCAAACCGGCCGGCCATAGCACGACCCGGTCCCGGGCCTCCTTCAAAAAACCCGAGGCCCGACCCGGCCCGGGTCCATGACTACTCCACCCCCACCTCCAAATCACCCAATCAACCCAATGCCAAAAAAATTAAAAAAATAATTGGGCCCGGACCAGCCCCAACCAGACCGGTACACCTTTTTCGAAGCCTGTAGCCCGCATGTTCACCCCCCCCCCCCCCGGCTCAGGCCTCAGGCCTAGTTAGGCCTGGACTCGGGCCGATTCGGGCCTGGGTCAGGCCGGCAGTTCTGGAATGGGGGACCTGAACTGGCCCGGGTAATCCCCGGTTCCGATTCGGGCCGGGCCTCGGGCCTTTGTTAAATTTTTTTTCCCTTTCCCTAGTTAACCCCCACCCCCAAACCACCCCAAATGGCTCAAAATACCCAGCCCAACCCGAAAAGTAAAAAAAAAATTGAAAAAGACCCGGAACTGGGCTGGTTCATGATTTGGGGGGTCCGAGCCCGGACCGGAACCCACGCGGGTCAAGCCTACCCGGACCGGTCACTGACCCAGCCACCGGGCCGGGCCGGGCTGGAACAGTGCCGGGTCGGGCCACCCGCCCGAGTCCAAGCCTAGTCCTGATTCACTTGGCCAGGTCGAGCCTGCACAGTGTCGGGTCCCGGGTAATGCGGTAAGGCTGACCCGTCCCAGCCCATCTATCTATATCCAAAAGTCTCAACCAAACCATAACTAAAATATTCAGCCGAAATGATCTTTTACCATCACCAAATACCAGTGTACACTCGTAAATAAACTGCCATCTAAGGAACTCTACAATGAATTTGTACAACCATATATGCGTTTCCGGTATCAATCCCCCGGCGAAAAAAATTTCATTAAAACCGACAAAAGCTCCTAAACCCTAACGGGCAAACCATAATTGTGGAATGTCCTGATCCTCCCATCTAAACCAGCCGTCACAATAACAAGCCCCCAGGCTGGAGATCGCGAAGTGTTGTTGTTCACCAGCTTTGATCGAAGATGGCCGTCTTCATCATCATGATCATGGTCGGTGACATGATTATCGCCGTTTTCAGGGGTCGGTACATTGTACAGAGGCAGCACTTCCTCGGGCCATGTCACAGAAACCCTAGATGAGGTTTCTGTGGAGAACCAATTTCCAAGGGAAAACCTCTCTGAATCCGCCCAAATCCTCGGAGGAGAAGGATCCATTTGCGACGAGCTTTCGCCTACCCAAGGTATTGCAATGGAAGCTCTCTCCGAGATGAAATGCTCGAATGAGCGCTCAGATTTCACCTGCTTGGGGTCCTGGACTCTTCTGTCCTCGTAGTTCCAGAGATACACCTGTGAGTCCTCCCCGATCGATATTACGTGTTTCCCGTTTGGCGTCGCATGTGCGGGTGAAGTGTGATTTCCTGATTTTCTAGGACCTGATAAATATGGAAGGGCAACTCAGTCATTTCGCTCCATTACTGTCCAAAATAAACAAACAGTGAAAGATTACTCACACTGCTCTAGAATGATTTACAGTTTTACTTTTTTAGCAATAAACTTCCATTTCATTTTGTAATTTGGAATATCAATTTTTTTACCATACTCTGAATTTGGTTTTTGTGATCTATTCAAATCTTTTTTTTTGGTGTTTAGAAGATTTAACTTTATGGTCAGTTTAATTTAAGCCAACAAATCAGCTGATCCTTTTGTTTTGTGAGATGAAAGTAGTAATAATCATGAGCAAATTTGAGAAATCATCCATACCTCTGTATTTACAAACAACCTCATGTCCATCAAGTATACGAATCCTGGAGTCTCCAGATGTAATCATAACCTTTTGAGAACCGTTTGGTAAAAACTGCAATCGGTTGCAATGCAATATGAGTACAAAGTTTTAAGGTTATGAAATGAGTTTTAAAGACTGCAGAATATGATATGATTGAATAAAACCTGAATGCCTGTAATTATATTGCTAGTTGACCTCCTCCTACCACCAAACTGTATCTCAGCATCTAGGTAAAGCTCACTTCCTGCATTCAAAGAAAGTGTTCCAGAAAATATTAAGAAACAAAGTGGTAAACGGACAATATGAAAAGTGGTATTTAAAAAATTGAATATTCTGTTCAGTACTTCAATTTTACACCGCCCTGTAAAAGTGGTAGGAGTATTTTTTATAGTGACTAATATTTTACCTATTAATTTTATTTCAGAAGTAGTATAGAAAAAACCTACTGTACAATACGAAGTATATTACGGAGTACTAAAAACACATGGAGATCACATTACAAAAAGGCATACCTGTTTGATAGAAATGGCAAACACCAGATATAGAGCCAACAATGAAACCCTGTATCATTTAGATTAGAAGGAAATAAGCATTCAAATCATCAATTTACCACCAAGCACCACAAAGAAACAGAAGGGGTTTGACTGTTTACCTTGCCGTTTGGCTGGTAGCATATCGCAGTCACTATATCATGTATATCAGCCCATTCAGCAACTCGCTTGTCTGTCACTCGCCAAACGCGTGCTTTCCCGTCTATGCACCCACTTATGAAAAGGTCTTCATCAATAGGATTGAACTGGATGCACGTTACTGGTACCAAAAACAAATTGTCCTCGTCGTTTAGTTCATCAACTATAGCTTAATTAATTAAGGATATTGATAATAAAAAACAAGACTGATTCAATAATTCTGATCCACACCATAGTTATTGTGATGGAAGACACCATGACATTCATCAGACCCCACTTTCCATAACCGAACAGTGTTATCTTTCGATGAAGACAAAAGACTCTGCAATCAAAATATACCAAAATGCTCAATATCATAGTACACAAACTTTATTTTCTATGAATTAACTAATTTCAATCATATCTTAGTTTGTTATTTCATTTTTATGTTCAAGAATTAGTATCACAATACGGTAAAGAAAATTATTTGCCTTAAAATTTAATTGACTGGTTCTTTTTCTAGGAAAACGCGTTTGGAAAAATCAATTGTAGACAATTGAGTCAGAACAAAGGCCGGGTATTTTGATTCTCAGGAGAAGAAAGGCAGACTAATGCTACCAAACAGGGAGCAAGTAAATTGATTATTGAATTAACTCACATTGGTTGTGGAAGACCATGCAAGGTCTAAAACAGCAGAAGTATGGCCATAGAACTCATGAACCGGTGATTCTTCAATCTGGAATACCTTCTCAGGTATCTCAACACCCCATTTCTTACCTCTTCCAAGCTCAGATTTGAAGAAATCGGAAGCTGGAGCTAATAAGACACGCCAAACACGAACCATCCCGTCCTCACCGCCGCTAGCCAAGTACTGCCCGTTGGGACTGAACTTCATTGTCCTAATCACGCCGGTATGACCCTTAATCTCTTGTCCACCATATAAACCAGTAAGTTCCATAAACTTCTTTTTCCGGCTTGGGCGAACTTTTAGAAAGCCCCCCGTCCCGGGCTTGCAAGAATGGCCACCTTTTAACTTATGTAGGAAGGGTTTCCACCATTTACTCTTCTTTGTTTTCATGGCTGGGCAGCTAGTAGAAAGATCATCATCAACCAAGCAATTAGCATCATCAAGGCTACAATCCCTTCCAACACCACATTTCAAATCTTCACCTTCTTCCCCAATAGAAGAAGAAGAAGAAGTAGACAAGGAAGAGGAGGAACACACAGCGTCTTGGAGATGGTGGTCATGAATCCTTCCACTTGTGAACTTAAACTCAGAAGTAGTCCCCATTTTGCAGAAGAAGTTTTCTCGTCTTTCCTTCACACTATGGAGTTCATTCAACCAAATATCATACCCAAATCGGTCGCCTTGTTCCCAAACAGGTTCCTCAAATGATAAACACTCAGAAGAATCGAAGAATACCTCTTCTCCTTCTTCAAAATTCTGCATTTCTTGCGGTTAACTCAACAACAGGTCAAATTCCCACCCGCAAATGATTCATAATAATCCAAGAAAGGGTTACCTGAATGTGGACACAGCGTAGGAATTCCAATTAAAAGGGTTATAAATATTATTCTACTCACAAGACAATGCCCAACTATAACATTGACTTGTTCACACACCACCGGAAATTCATAAAATAAAGTGACAAACCAACCAAACAGGAACACAAGGCTTTATTATTATTTCTAATAAATGACGTGTTTTTGTTTTGTGCACCTCGTAGTACAGCGTATACCGCCGACCCTTCCTAGGATTGCGGTGGTTGATTGAAGAATAGAGAGACCCAAATGAGGAAATGCGTTCCTATTGTTTCTGGGAGGTAAAAGAAAATGCAGAGAAGAGGGTGGAAGAAGGTAAAGGTGAAAACTTTCAGGATTTCATGCAAGAAAAAAAAGCAGAGTAGTCTCGAGATCTGGGTAGTGAAGAAAAAGGGAATTTTGGGGCAGTGCGAGAGCGGCGGTGTGCAGGAATGGGGTGCGTAAATGACGACAGGTAGGACTGCGGGAAAAGGTTAAAAGGGGTATAGCATCCGTAGGTTTTGTCGTGACCGTACTTTGTCTTTCTCCTCCTCCGTATAGTACATATGCTTCTCAAGTCAATTCCAATTCGTATACACTTCAGAATACACAAGTCAAAATCTGTCCGAGCAGACGCGCCTCCCAAGTCAACATACACAACCATTTCAAATAGAACCGCTACAAACTCGAAGAAATGAAAAGAGTCAATTAGCCATGCGAAAAATTGAAATAATATTATGAGGTGTGAGTTAAAGAGCATTTATTTTGACACAATTAGCTAAGTTGGTTAATGGAAAAGTTGGAAATATTGATTAAGGATCACAACAATTGTATGGATATTTTTTTATTGTGTGGATGTTATAACTTCTAGTGAAGAGTTGATATTAGATATATAGAGAGGGCTAGGGCTCTGGCGATCGAATGGTGACGTCAGCTACGTGGGCAGCCACGGCCGGAGGGTCGGGGGCGGCGGTACGATCATTTGCGGAGGTCTTAGCAGCCAATAAGGAGATTCCATTAAAGGTCCCAACTCGACGCAAAGGCATGATGGCAATTCAATTCTCTGAGGAGGAGGTCTCGACACTGGCGGATCAACATCGTTTTGCCTTGGTGGGGTCATTTGTCAGGGGCAGGCCGACCATGACTTTGATTCGTTCGGAATTTGAAAAAATTGGTTTTAAGGGAGGATTAACGATTGGATTACTGGATCATTGTCACATTCTTCCCCAATTCTCCCTGGAAGAGGATTTTCAAAGGTGTTGGCTTAGACAATATTGGGTTATACGGGGTTTCAAGATGAAGATCACTCGTTGGACACCAGATTTCAATCCTGAGGTTGAATCGCCCATTGTTCCGGTATGGATTACATTTGATGGCTTGCCATTGCATTTTCACGACAAACGAGCTTTATTCTCTGTTGTGGGTATGATAGGAAAGACTTTAAAGGTGGATGCAGCGACTGCTAACATGACCAGACCATCTACGGCTAAAGTATGTGTCGAGCTGGATTTGTTGCAAGAGCTACCCTCGAAAGTGATGATTCTGAGCGGTAACAAGAAGATTATACAATCTGTAAATTATGAGGATTTGCCGGCGTATTGCACCAAATGCAATAAGCTGGGCCACCTGAAGGAGGTGTGTGGTCTTAAACCCAGAATTGAGGGAAATCTAATTAAACAGGTGGAAAGGAATGGTGGAAGCAAGGTGAAGCAAGGGGTGGTGCAGGACCACCACAAAACTCCACGGGAGTGGGTGCAGGTCACGAGTAAGAAGAAGGGCAAAGAAATTGTCTTATCCCCAAGTGCTCAGGAAGTGGCAGAATCCTCTAAAAAAATGAAAACTTGGTAGATGTTGAGCTCTTAGGCAACAAGGATAAGCGTCCACAGACAGAACTCCCCAAAGAGAAGGAAGGACCAGTGCAATTGGGGGAGAAAGCCTGTGAACCAGGAAACAATGAGCATATTAACAAGAAGGTGGATAACGGTGTCGTGATAGTCCACAATGAGGAGCATATTGAAGTGGACCATATTGAGGGTGGACATGTGGGTGAAGGCCTTGGTGTGGAGTATACTCAAGAGAATGATGCGGAGGGGCATAGGCCTGAAGGATTGATCGAGGTGGCCTCTCATGAGGAAGGTTCCAGTGAGGATGTTCCATTGACAACAGATGTTACAAAATTAATATCCTTTGAAGAAGGAAATACTCTAGTCTGTGAAGAAGAGGGTACGGTGGGCTATGAGTCGGAAGGGGATGCTGATAAGGTAGAGAATGTCATAGCTGTGGCATGGAGATCAGTGTGTGGGGAGTTGCAGAATAAAGTGGCTATGATAGAAAAAGAACAAGCTGAAACTTTGGGAGTGGTTCCGAGGAAGAAAGTCAAAGATGTTCCTCCTCGTTCGGTCACAACACGCTTGGCGGCTAAGAGGAGCAATGCGGATGGAACCCTTGTGGTTTCCTTATGAAGTTACTAACATGGAATGTGTGCGGCCTCGCTTCTGCGTGCCCGAGGCTGCGTGAATTTGTTAGGCACCATTCGCTTAATTTTATTGCAATTATTGAACCGATGGTTAGTTCCTCGAGTGGAGATTCCTATTTACATAATATTGGTTTTTCTAATCTTTTTATGTCGGCATCAAATAAGATATGGGTCATGTGGAATTCTTCTGTGTTTGAGGTGGTCTCAGTTACTGATAGGGACCAATTTTTGTTGATTAAAATGAGGTATATTCCTCTGGATATGCTGTTTGTTTTTTCGCCAGTCTATGGAAGGTATACGAGAAGGGAGAGGGCACAATTATGGGATGGTATGATAAACTTTGCACAAGGGCAGGATATTCCTTGGGTCGTGGGAGGTGACTTCAACACTTTGTTTGTCTTGCTGAATACAAAGGACCATCGACTCCCCTAGTGGGAGCTATGATGGACTTTCAGGAATGTATTGATGGCTGTAATCTCATGTAATTGCCAACGACTGGGTCCTCTTATACATGGACGGGGGTTAGAGTGAATGGAAGGGTTTGGGAAAGGTTAGATCGGTATGTGGCCAATCAAGGTTTTCTTGATAAATTTGATTCAGTTAATTTTCAGCATTTGAGCAAAGGATCTTCGGATCACTGTCCCATTCTGTTGTTATGTGAGACGTCTTTCACAAGGGGGCCATCTCAGTTCTGTTTCCAGAACATGTGGTTCACTAGGGATGATTTTTTAAGTTTTGTGGGTCAAAAGTGGGCTTCTTACCCGAGAATAGGTGGTATGGGGGGATGTGCTTAAAGTTGAAAGCTCTGAAGGCAGATCTTCGTATTTGGAACAAAGAGGTTTTCGGAAACATTTTTATGGAGACAGCAAAACTGGAACAAGAGGCTATTGATGCCAAAAAGGCTTTTGAGGAAAATCCATCACAGGTAACTCGAGCCCATTATCATATGAAACAGGCTGAGTTGCTTAAGAGAACTAAACAGAAGGAGATTTACTGGAGGCAAAAAGCCAACGTTAAGTGGATGAAGGATGGGGATGCTAACTCGAAAATTTTTCATCGGGCGGCTAAAGATAAGGTGTGTAAACAATATATTAGAGCCATAAAAAAAGAGAATGGTGATTGGTGTTACAACACACCGGAGATTGGGGGAGAAGAGGTTAGTTTCTATGAAAAATTATATCAGTTCGAGCCTACTGACTCTTATGGTCATATTCTTCAGTACATTCCTAATATTTTGACTCCAGAGGATAATGATGGTTTGGTGGCTTTACCTAATGAAATGGAAGTACGTGAAGCTGTTTGGGGTCTGAGTTCGGATGCTGCTCCTGGTCCAGATGGGTTTGGAGGAGGTTTTTACAAAGGGTGTTGGGACATCATTAAGCAGGATGTTACCTTGGCCGTTCAAGAGTTCTTCATAGGCATACCTATACCTAAGGGGGTGGGTAGTGTCAATATGGTGCTCATTCCTAAGAAGAAAAATCCTATATCCTTTGGGGATTTTAGACCAATCTGTTTATCTACCTTTTTGAGCAAGATCAATACTCGTATTATTGCTTCCAGATTAGCAACTATTTTGCCTAAAATTATATCCAGTGAGCAATCAAGTTTTATGAAGGGTAAGGGGATCCAATATCAAGTTCTGACTGCTTTTGAACTGCTACATCATCTTGATAAAAAAACAAGAGGATCAAACTTAGTTATTAAGTTGGACATGGCTAAGGCCTTTGACCGGGTGGCTTGGGGTTTCTTGGATTCCATTTTGAATACTTTTGGTTTTGGGCATCACTTCAGGAAGCTTATTCTGGAAAATCTAAGGGCAACTTATATTTTTATACTTGTGAATGGGAGGTCCTTCGGTTTTTTTAAACCCCATAGGGGAGTTAAGCAAGGGGACCCATTATCCCCTTTGCTTTTCATTATCATGTCGGAGGCCTTCTCTAGGGGTTTAAATAGTCTGATTTGTGAGGGAAATATTGAAGTTTTTAATTGGGGAAGAGCTATGAATGTATCCCATCTCGCATTCGCAGATGATCTTATGATTTTTATCAATGGATCGGCTAGATCAATTAAAAACTTTGATAGTTTTCTTCAGCTCTATCAACGCGCATCTGGGTAGTCTGTTAATAAAGAGAAGAGTTGCTTTGTTTTTGGGAAGCATACTCCGTCAGGCAGAATACATAATATAGAAAATAAGCTGGGCATGAAGGTTTCTAAATTGCCTTTCAAGTATTTGGGGGTGCAATTGCACAAGGGAACTACTAGGTTGACACACTGCAAGCAGATTTTAGAAGTTATTGACAGTAGACTATCTATCTGGGTCAGAAGTTGATTTCCCAGGGAGGTAGGCTTGTTCTAATTCGACATGTGGTTAACTCTATTCCTCTATATGTGCTAGCTGTTACAGGCATTCCAGAAGCAGTAGTTCGAATGATTAACAGGGGGATTGCTAATTTCTTTTGGGGATTTAAAGCTAATAAGCCTAAACATCATTGGGTTTCACTTAAAAGGTTAAGTAGGCCGGTTGAGGCAGGTGGAGTGGGCTTCAGGTCATTGGTGGATGTTCAAAAGGTTTTCGCTATGCAATTTTGGTGGGAGTTTCAAACTGGAAACTCTCTTTGGGCTACAATCATGAAGAGCAAGTACAGCAGGAGGGATTTAGGGGTGATCAGGCCTCCTGATTCTCCTACCTGGAGAAGAATCTGCCATGTTAATGGGGAGGCTGAAGCAATGGTGGATAGAGGCAACTCCTCTATCAAGTGGAAATACTCAAGTGATGGTGTGTTCAACACTAAATCTGCTTACATGGCCCTGTGGAGAGGGAGGGGAACAACCTTATCAACTACAAACATTTGGCACAAAAGGCAGATACCCAAAATTAGAATTTTTCTCTGGAAACTGTGGAACAAAGGCCTAGCTTTCCCGGAACGGTTGTCCAGGTTCGCTGCAATCTACCCAACATGTTGCCCTTTTTGCAAATCAGCTTCAGTAAGCCAGGGCCATATTCTTCTGGAATGCTCATTACCGAGATCAATCTGGAATTTCTTCGAAGGAGCTCTGGGACCTGGAGGAAGGAAAGTCACGCAGATCAAGTTTCAATTGCTGAAATGGTGGAGTCTAAAATCAGGAGGAACAATGGATGCGGTTTATACGACTATAGTACCAGGTGTGATTTCTTGGCATATTTGGAAAGCCTACTGGGACTCAATTTGGAAGGAACTGGAACCTGATAAAGATAAAATTATAAATCAAATTTGTAAATTCATGTTATCTTGGTGCTCCGCTAATGAAAATCTGAAGTGGAATACGAGGTTGAAGGAGCTCGGTCTCATACCTGCTACTTTTCATCTTAAAAAGCCTCGGATCTTCAGATGGATACCTCCGGCGGTGAATAACATGAAGCTCAGCTTGGCAGTCCACAGACAGTATGGCAAGTCGGCGGCGGGATTCTTGCTGAGGGATCATTCGGGAGCAGCGGTCATGGCGGAGGGGTTCCCTTTGAGTGGCTCGTCGGAGCAGGCCGACGATGTTGAGATGGCGATTTTCAGACAGGGAGTGGAATGGGTGGAGACTCTTGGATTCTATCAGGTGGAAATTGAAGTTTTTAGAGAAAGTTTGGTGGGACGGTGCATTTTGTATGCGGCCCAACATCCTGGGGTACTAAAGATTGGACTTTGTCTGATTCAGGCAAACAAGGCAGCAGCTGTAGTAGCTAAGTTGGGCCTTCTGACGGTTTTTACATGGCGTAGTGGTGAGCCACTCCCCAGAGAATTGGGGGGGGGGGGGAGGCAATTGCTTTGGATTCACTATCTGTTCCTCATATTATTGTTTAGCTTTTTTTTAAAAGAAAAAGGTTTTTTCATTTCTTTGAGAGGTTTTGGTTTGGTCCTCCTCTCGTTCTTTTTGTATTTTGGTGGTGATATTAATACTAATCTCTGGTAAATGTCACCCGGCATTTACCCCACTGGATGCAGTGGTTTGCCTTCCGGGCTAAAAAAAAATTCTAACTACATTGGATATGGTTCAATTTGTAATTAAAACATGTCATACAGAAATCTTTCATAACTGGATTGGACATGGTTCAATTTGTTATCAAAACATGGAAGTCCTATTCTGGAAATTTCAAACCTTTTTAGTCCTATTTTGGGTAATATCTCTTTTTAAAATCTAAAGTCTCTAAAAATTGTCTAAAAAATCTCCAAAAATTCTTAATTAAATGTTTGACACAATAAATTTTAAGAGGTTTTTAAAATTTTGGAAGAGAACATTGAGGGAATGTTTTCAAGAACTTAGAGAATATGTTTTTCGACTTTTGACTCAAAAAGTAAAACGTGTATTTTCAAGTGATAGCTTTTGTTTAAACTAAACTTTAAAAGCATGAAGTATGTAGAGTAGGGATGACAATAGTGATTGATCCCATGGATACCTATATCGAACCGCTCTGATCAAAATGGAGAAACCCGCATTGACTGGGCAATGGTATAGACGTGGAATGCCCGTTTTACTTTTATGCGTGACGGGGTGGGATTTTATACATGCCCGCCCATTACTTCTTCCGTTCCCGCCCCATTTTTTAGTTATATTTTTATTACATTCTTTCTACTACATCTGTCCCAAATTATTTTGCAAAGTCAGCATTTTTTGGTCAACCAATTGTAAAGTTAAATTCGCCCTATTCATAACTAATTCAATTTTAATAATTAAAATTTACATGTTCAGAAATTACATTAAAATCTCTATAAGGTTGCAAAATCTAAATTAAAATTTGGCTAAAAGTTGATATTTTAATTAAGGGATTAAAATGAGTCTGTTTGACTCAAAAAGTCAATTTTTGCAATTCAATTTGGGACGGAGGGAGTATTATTTATCCTAAAATTAATAAAAGATGAGATGTTTCCCTTTTCCTTGTGTATATATAGATGTACTAATTATAATGTATGATTAAAAGTTCATAATAATTTTCAATAGTGTCATTTGGTTATTATCATATTTTTTCTTGATTAATTATTTTTTAATTGGAGCATTTTTTAGGTTCAAATTAATTTAGAAAGTCTTCCTTCTTTTCTTGTAGATGCAAAGAATTTTTAAGTACCATCTCACCTCTAGAGTCATTTAGACGATGTAATTTATTTTCCTTTTAAAATAATAATTTTGATATTAAAGTATCAATGACTCATTTAATAAAATGGTTACTTGTGGTCATAACCGCTACCCGTTAAGACGGTTATGGTTTGGATAAAAATTATCAATTGGTTAATTAGGAGGTTACGGGGCGGGAAAGTTGCCAAATGGGGCGGGTACGGTGATATGCATAACCGCCCCCGATCCGTCCCGTTGTCATCTCTAATGTGAACTAGTGCTTCAAAACACTTCTCACCTTTTCTTCTACACAAAACTCACTAAATATCAAACATGGTCAACTTTTACTTTTTCTCAAAATCATTTTTTCTCAAATACCACTAGTTTGTACAAGTAACTACATTCCACTCAACTTTATGAAGTTGATGTTGGATGTGAAATTAGAAAAGGAAGTTGGCAAAGTCAAGTGGAATGGAAGGAGTAATAAGCAATTTCTCTAAAATCAATGTAGAAATCCCTTTTTAAAGTAGAAGTTATTGCAAACACTCCCTGATTAGGTTCTTAGAGAAATAGCATGTAGAATTAATTCATCACAAGGATTTATTATATCATACTCCATGTGCTCCTCAAAACATTGTTATTTTTCACCAACACGGAGAATAATAAAATAAAAATCGTGTGATTAAAGTTTGTGTAGATGAGAAAGAAAGCGGAGGATCACTAAGCAAGATAGTGAGGTGGGGGCACAGGCGAGCATGGATGTGGATGATGAATCTTCAAAAAACTTGGAAGTGGTGGTGCTGTCTGGACAGCACCGTCAGTAGCAGGTAAGTGCGAGGATAAGAAGGATGTACCCTTAGCGGAGGCTGGTCAAACCGTTGTTCTCTTGCCAGTAGCTGGACAAACAGGATTATGTTCCTCTTTTCTTTTTTCATCATTCCAAAACTCTGTTATGTTTTTTCAATTCTCTTTTAGTAGCAGGTTAGCGAGATGCTCCGCTAATAAGCATGAATCCAGCTCTGAGTCTCACTCCAGAGTAGCCTTTGTTATGGCGAACATGTATCTGGTTCTCAATTTTAATAATAATTAAGTTATCTTTTGCCAGAAACAATCCATTCCATTGCTGGCAATAATGTTTAATATTTAGATGACGTTCCTTGTATCAAATTGATGGTATTCCCAAATCAATTCATTGTAAGCTTTCCAAATAAACTAGATGATTATTAAATTCCTGGTAAAATATTGTTTTGTATACCATTTAGATTTCATTCATTTGAAGCTAACCATCAACAAAAAAGTTGTGTTTAAAGACCCGACCCGGACCATCCGGTCTGACCCGGAATCCGCCCACCCATTCAGAAATGTGGGCCGATTATTACATAACCGGTAAAAGGCCTAGAACTCGGAAAAAACCAAAACCCCATTACAACCCGCGCCAGACACGGATCTAGAAGTAACCGGAAACCCGAAAATCCGGGAAAATATTTATTCTAGAAAGAAAATCATTTCAAAATCATTTTAGATAATTTTATTACTAAATAAATATCAAATATCACTCCTCGATTGAGTATTCGAGAGGGGTTAAGTTAAATATATAACTGAGATCAACTAAACATATCATCAAGTGGAAAGTTGTAAATAAAGTTAGTTTTTTTTAATCTTTGAATTAAAACACATATAAGTTGTTCATCTTGGTGTTTAATTTAATTAATTCACACAATCCCAAAATTCCCATTTTTAATTACTAGTTCATTGAAAGAAAATTACTCATTTCCTTGTGGATACAAACTCTACTACACTATACTTCGTATAAGTGTTAAGTATTGAATTATTTTGAGGCACATACGACTTTAGTGCCGTCACTCGGGAGAAGATATCCTCCTCCTGTTTTTCCAGCGAGCGGTACTTTTTCACCGGGACAATTAAGCAAACACCTTCTTGTGTTGGGTCGGCTATGCGGTGGAAGATTCCCTCTTCCACTGCGACGTGGGTCACAGCAGGGGCGGAACCAGGGGGAGTGAGCCGGTGCTGGCGCCACCTCTTCGCCGGAGATTTTTCTTTACTAGCATTGGGTATTTAGACTGCCACCCCTGTAGCTTCATCTTCTTCCTTGAGAATAGACCTGCGGCCGGTGCTCGATTCAGCGAAGCGGAGAGAAAGAAACGCCCAGTCTGTTCTTTTTTACGGAGTAATTAAATCAGTCCGCCAAACGACGTCGTTTGGTTAAGTGCACAGTAATAAAGGAAACGACGTCATTTTGGACCCAAATCTTATCTACCCGTTTCACCTTCCCTTGCGATGTTGCATGTCGTTCCTTCGCTACAGACCACATCCCAGTCCGGCATCCAGCATACAACAGACTCGTAGTCCCGCCTTGGCCCCTTCGTCCTCAATCGCCGGCTCGCCGCATCGTATCTGGACTCTCCGTCGCTGTGTCTCAGATTTGCCTCCGGCCGCCCTATCTTGTTTCTCTGAGTCTCCGACATCGAAGTCCAAACTCTGAAGTCTGAACTCCTCTTCTCCGAACTTCCGTAGTAAGTTGCCTAGTTTCAGGAGTTTGGTATATACTTTCATAATTGAAATTAGTATAATTGCTTATTTTTGCTAATTGCTTGAATTACTTGTTTAATGTAAAATTGAATTGATTAATTGCTTTATAGTTTAAATTCTTTTGTGATTTTATTGATTGATTACTTTAATTGCTTTAAAGTTAATTGATTAATTGCTTGAATTGGTGTAAAGTTGAAATTGTTTGTGCAATTTTTTTGATTACTTACTTTCATTGCTTGACTTGTTTTGAATTTTAATTGATTAATTGCTTTAACTCTAAGAATTCAAAGTTGAAAACATTTTTCACTTGTTAGGTTACTCGTGTGATCTTGCCCATTTTACAATTTGTAACACGAGGCGTTGGGTCTTCTAGACGGGATAACGAAGAAAGTAATAGAGAAAACATCCTCGAGTAGAATTTGATCCAAATGATGGCGTGTCTATGCTGGATTACGTAAACCAATCTTCTTCTAACAATTACTTGTTATCTAATGTACTCTTCTCACAAATTTTAAATTCTATAAACTTTTATAACAATTTTTATTTTTGTATTGTATAATACTTTTAGCCTCCCCTTACTTTTTGTTCTGGTTCCGCCCCTGGGTCACAGTATTCAATGCTTCTTCTTTCTAACTTCCTATTTGTCTTGGTAGATCATTGAGTTGTAAGTTGAAAAAGATGCAAAACCAGAACACATGAAATCTTTTTGTTCAAGTTTCCCACAGACAGCGCCAGTGTTGAATTTAATCCAACAAAAAATATTAAATATAAATATAAATATATATGAATGCTCTGTTTTTACGTGGAAATCCGAAAGGGAGAAAACCACAGAACTTTTTGGGCTAATGTCCAAGTGACTCTCATTCTCATTAATACTCCCTCACCATTACAATGTACAAACTTGAGCTCCCATTAATGGAGGATAGAACTAATCTACTGAGAAGGTGGAGAAGAAGCCAACCCTTTACACGGAGGAAAAGCCTCCTATTTATAGGGAAAGGGGGATGGGATAAAATCTACCCTAATGGGCCAAAATGGGCCGGATGGGCTGAAATGGGTTTCATCAATCGGGCTCCATATAGAGATAATACCTTCGGCTTCTGAACAGTAGTAGGCCAGAGTAATATAACCCAACAATATCTATTTGATGTGTATTCTATTCCTAAGTTACATATGAATCTTGCTTTTGTTAGTCATAAATGTGACTGTATGTTTTGTTGGTCTATTTCCCGATTCTTGTTATGTGTAGGATCTAAAACCCAAGATAGTGATTGAGACAGGGTAAAGGAAGGGAAATGTCTCTATGTTATGGATGAGCTTCATTTTAGTACTCTGATGGCACTGAAGTCGTTGTGTGTCTCAAATTAAATTCACCACTAAGAGTTAATACTGTAGTATAGCGTAGTAGAGTTCATATCCACGGGGAAAGGAACTTTTCGCGTATGTGTAAGCCTAATATATAAAAGTAAATGGAATGGGGATTGAATATTTTGATAATTGAGAAAGCAAATAAATTATTAAAATGAGTGAAATAAAATATCAAAGGTAATCAATCTTGGTTTTGCTAATTTCCACTTAGTGAATTGCTCGTTGATCATTGTTACTACTTTAATTATCTCTCTTGAATACTTAATTGTGGAGAAACTCAAATTCATCTAGTATAGGTATTAACAACGAGACGTGTTCCTTAATAGCTCTTACTATTAATTAGTCAATATAGAACAAGCATTGTATATTGATATTAATAGTAGCATTCAATCGACTTAATGAAATTAATTAAGAATGATAACTTGTAAGTTGTAACCCGAGGTGAATATTCTCGGCTGTCACAACAAGAATCTCAGGTCCATATATTCTATCTAATTTATTCATTTGTCATCTAATGAAATTAATTAAGATTGACAACTTCAACACAAGCAGTTTTTGGTTTAATCAATGTAATTTCTCCCTCTTACATTATTAACCATGAGACGCGTGTATTAACAATATAAGTTTACTACTTGTGAAAGGACCAAGTGAAAACAAGTGTATTCATTAACCGATTCTAGTAATAATTAATATGAAAACATCAATTACTTGATCACTCAGCAATGCTCAAATATCAATATGAAATATAAATAGAGAAGTAATTAATGTTTAAGAGAGGAAGATTAAAGAAATAACTCACAACTTACAAATCACAAGCTTCAATATAGCAAAATCGAGCTCAAAAGACTACCTAAAATACAAGAATAAAGTTTATATGAAAGAGGGGATTGATTGATATCTCAAATGGGAAGGATATGAGTGTTTTTATAGGAGAATTGAGGTGGTTGGGTCAGATACCCGACTGGGTATCTAGCATACCCGATCAGGTATCTTTGGTAGTAGCTACGAAAGTGCTGAAATCTAGTCAACCCAACCGGGTATAATTTGACCCAGAGATCATATGAGATCAAATAAAGAAAGAGAACATGGTACCAAATCGGACTTTTCACATTTCTTTGTCTCTCATGAAGCTTTCTCTTGTCTCTATTGCTCCTTCCTTATACTCCCAAACTCTTTCCTCTTCTTTTCATCATGTTTCTGCTTACATGTAAAAATATCTTAATATCTTCTATTCTAGTTTGATTTAAGAAGATAAAGATTACACTGTAATTGTACAAAAACTAAGAAAATACAATGTAAAACCATTTAAAATGTGGTGTTTATGCACTATTAAATAGTGCATATCAAATGCCCCCATGTTTAATCTCTTACTCGTCCTCGAGTAAGTGCAATTCAAGTTCAATGCTTAGGAGTGTCATGTTTCTTCTCACATTTAAAATCGGTTTCTTCTCCCAAGCTTTTATCTGTTCATACTCCTCCATGCTATGCTTTTTGTGCTAGTCTCCTTTGAATATTTTCGAGAAGCTTTTAGTAAACACCTGGTCGAACATGGCATGTACCCGGTCGAGTATCCAGTTGTTTGAGCTTACACGCCAAATTTTCCCCTGCAAAGTGTAAAACTTCGCTAGTTTTTTCTCATTTTGCCTAGGAGTCCTTTTCGAGTTTTCGTTCTAGCTCCTCGTTTTTTCTTTTGACTAACTCACTCATTTTTTGAGGTGGAGTGGTGGTTGAAAGTATATACCCACTCTTTTATAACTTTATTCAAGGTAGATGAGAAAAAAACAACATAAAATATAAGAAAAGAACAAAAATTACACAAACACAAAGTTAAAAAGTACAATGAAGCCTTTCCCCATGCAACGGCGTCAAATTTGACGGCACTAAATTCATTGGGTGCCTCAAATTAAATTCACTACTAAGAGTTAATATCGTAGTATAACATAGTAGAGTTTGTATCCATAGAGAAAAGAGTTTTTCGCGTATGTGTAAGCGTAATAAATAGAAGTAAACGGAATGGGGGATTGAATATTTTGATAAATGAGAAAGAAAATAAATTACTAAAATGAGTGAAATAAAATATCCAAGGTAATTAGTCTTGATTTTGCTAATTTCCACTTAGTGAGTTGCTCGTTGATCATTGTTACTACTTTAATTATCCCTCTTAAATACTTAATTGTGGAGAAACTCTAATTAATCTAGGATAGCTATTAATAACGAGACGCGTTCCTTAATAGCCCTTACTATTAATTAGTCAATATAGAACAAGCGTCGTGTATTGATATTAATAGTAGCATTCAATCGATTTCATGAAATTAATTAAGAATGATAACTTTTAAACCAAGGTGAATATTCTCAGTTGTCACAACAAGAATCTCAGGTCCAACTATTGTATCTAATTTATTCATTCGTCATACGATGAAATCAATTAAGATTGACAACCTCAACACAGACAGTTTTTTCGTTTAATCCGTATAATTACTCCCTCTTACATTATTAACCATGAGACACATGTACTAACAATATAAGTTTACTGCTTGTGAAAAGACCAAGTGAATAACAAGCGTGTTCATTGACTGATTCTAGTAATAATTTATATGAAAACATCAACTAATTGATCACTAATCAATATAATATTTAAATAGAGAAGTAGTTAATATTTAAGAGAGAAAAGATTAAAGAAATAACTCACAACTTACAAATCACAAGCTTCAATGTAGCAAAATCAAGCTCAAAAGACTACCTAAAATACAAGAATAAAGTTTATATGAAAGAGGGGATTGATTGTTATCTCAAATGGGAAGGAAAGTGGTGTTTTTATAGGAGAAATGATGTGCTTTGGTCAGATACCCGACTGGGTATCTGGCATATCCGCTCGGGTATGTTTGGCAGTAGCTACGAAAGTGCTGAAATCTAGTCACACCCGACTGGGTATGTAAAAATACCTGACCGGGTATGTGAAAAAATCTGATTTACCCACGTTCTCTTGCTTTATTTGATCTCATATTATTTCCGGGTCAAATCATAACCGATCGGGTATTTCAAATACCCGACTTGGTGTGATACCACATCGCATTTTGCCATTTTTAACATTTCTTTGTCTCCCATGAAGCTTCCTCTTGTCTCAATTGCCCCTTCCTTATGCTCCCAAGCTCTTTCCTCTTCTTTTCATCATGTTTTTGCTTACATGTAAAAATACCTTAATATCTTCTGATTCTAGTTTAATTTAAGAAGATAAAGAGTACACCGTAATTGTACAAACGCTAAGAAAATACAATGTAAAACTATTCTAAAACTAGTTATACGACGCGCGTTGCGCGAGAAGATAATGCCCAATGTTATTTTATGATAACATCTAGATATACGATTAAGATTTGTCAAGGGTGGCATGTAGTAATATAATAATAAAAAGTGTAATTCATGATGATTTGATGTTTTTTAATTTTTAGCATATAGTAACAGTGCTGAAAAAGAATCTAAAATAATGGATTTCTATGATATAAAGTTAGAATAAAAATATGACAAAGTTCATATAGTTACTATGTATAAAAACAATGTCACTAGAATAAAAATATGTTGGTACCAATATGTTTTGTGAAACTGTGGTTTCTTTAGTAGGACTTTGGTGGAATTTGTGTCCTGAGATGACCCATAAGCTGTCATAGTTTTGACTGGACCTAGAAGTGGCAACCAATTATATGGAGAATTTAAATATAAAATAGAAAGCATACCAACAAAAAGATAGAAAAAAGTGGAGGAAACATGGCATCAAAGAAAGCATACAAAGAAAAGGATAGAAAAAGAAAAGCTCAGTCCGGAGTTAACTTCTTGAACTTTAGTGTAACCCCTTCCCCTGCACTATAAAAGGGATTTAATAAATGCAATGTAGATATTAACCAATGACTCATCTTGCGTGGGAAAGTTGGTTGCTTCCTAAAAATGACCTCCGTGGTTCCTTAAGGTTGCACTTGCCACTGCTCTAGGGAACGATTGCTTTGTTCTAAATGGCAGTGCTATATGCTTGGCATCAGTCCATTGGCTTTCAACCTGTTGCGTTTGAAGGGTGATATTTTCTTTCATACCCAAACACCAATGTACCTTGTGAGATATTATTTTATCAGCTGCATATTTTCCATTAGTCCACTGAGCTTTGCAATATGTCTTCCAAATGTTCTAACCCATAACACCAGGAGGAACTGCGATACATTAACCATCCAGAGAGTCGTTTTTAGCAACGAGCTGACAATTGATTTTTTTTTGGTTTGAAAGAGCTGTCCCCACCTGCCAATCAACATCCAAAACGACAGAGAAATATCTCCACATTTTAGCTGTAAAAGAGCAAGAATGCATGATATGATTTCGTCTGGGATCTGCGTTAAAACAAAGACAACAAATAGCTGACAGATGAAGTTGGAATTTAGATAAATTCTCCGTTCGGAGTTGGGCCATGATGTTCCCGTTGAAACCTTCAATATTCTTATATGAAGCTATAATGAATTCCTAATCAGGCTACCATCTGCCTCTCTTTCACTATTGTCAAATCCTTTTTTGGTGAATCTTACAGTCTTTTCCAAATATATGAATCGGTAGGTTTGATATGCAAGGTCTTATATCTATCATGCATAAATTTAGACCAGAGTGTCTCGTTCTGCTAAAATATCCGCCTTAACTTTAAATCATTTGCTTATTCTAGTTGACACGACGACCTAATACCAACCTCCCTCCTTTTTTGGACTTACACAGTGTCTTCATGTTTTCCCAGTAATAGTTATCCCTTCCATTCTTATCTTCCCAAAAGAATGAACAAATTTTCTTTTCTAGTAAAGAGATATCCCTTCTTGGAATTAGAATTGAAGAGAGCACGTGCTTAATGAGTGTAAGTGTACCCATTTGGGACATAAATTTTTTCTCAAGGCTGGTAGTTTACTATCAAATTTAGCAAGGAGCACCTTACGGCAAAAGAGCCTAGTAATATCGTCATGAATGGGAATTCCGAAGCAACTACATGGAAGTCAAATTTCTTTGTTAACTTATTAGTTCTATATGTACATGTGCGCACACACACATATATATACATATATCCAAATTAAAATAGGCTCTATTTCAATCCCAAGGAACACTAAAGGAAAACACTAAGATAATAGGAAGAAATGAATGTGTGGGTAGGTGGGGTACGGTATAGCGTAAAATGCTTCAAAATGACTTTCAAAATGACTTCATTTTTTAAAAAATCAGGTTTATTAGTGGTATATTTCCATAACAAGATTATCTTTTTTCACGTTCAATCAATTTAAAGTTATAATTGTTCAATTACCTGGACAAACATTTTTTAAAAGGCAGACCGGTAATACCTGAATGGTGACCTTAACACACCATGCACGGTTTTTAATACCAGATTGGTGAATATGCAGAAACCTTTCAATTTTTGGATTATGACACTAACTTTAATGGTAAAATCTAGATTTGTTTTCTATGAATAACAATTTCTACTTTAACGGTTTCATATTAAGCAATTATATATAATGGTTTCTTAACGGTTTCTACTATGCTACAAGGATTTCTGGAAATCCGCTTCTGGTTGATGGATTTTACTATGGTAGAGCCACTGGAATGGCACCGCGTGCAAGGTTGGTTTTCTTACATACATAAAGTCATTGCACACCATTCACTTATGAAAATACAAACCACCATATATTAAGTCTAGAATTGTTTTTGTTTTTGAGTTTACATTTTTCTAAAAGTATGATAAATAAACCTTAATTTCATTATTTATTAATATGAGAATTATCTTCTCTTATAAGGATAGACATTTTAGAAATACGATAAAAGCTTAGGATGTTTTTACTTGGACTATTTTCAGTCCTAGACCAGACCGAACCAGTCTTAAACATATCAGGCTAGACCAAACAAGACTTAAATAGACCAAACCACACACTTAAAAAATCAAATTTCCAAGGCAAAACCATACACTTAAAAAATCACTCATCTTTTGATAACCTAAAAACTGTCAATATCTAGAGAGAAGAGAAAAAATATCATGAAATGTGAAAGCCCAAAGTTTTTTGACTTTATAATCCTAAAGTGCAGTATGGTTTCCTCATTTGAAATGTAGCATTACACTGATAGTTTATAATTAAAGTTCTATGAAATATGTAGAATCAGCCTGTCAGGTAGTATCAAGTGCTCTGTTATGGACATTTTTTCAAACACACACCATCGATCAAACCGAGCTATAAGTGGTATTATTCAATCAATAATAAGTTATGAAGTAAACAAAAATCTCTTTGTGGCCTTAAGGATGCATATTTTCTTGTTTTAACGGATAAAAGCAGACAATGGTAACAGAGCACAATCAAGCAACTGCACCCACTGTCAAATTGAAAATAATAATCCCAACTATTGTCGGTCCGCTGATAATAATCCCAACTATTGATTATTTTTGTATAATCCCAACTATATGGACCGTCCGCCAATAATGGTCCATGACCAGATATTACCTCCTAAATAAATGAATTTTAAATAGAAATTAAGTGTAAAAATTAAAAGTTGAGATTATTTATAGGAATTACTTGCTATATCTCTTCTCATCCACTTCAGAAACTACAAGAATTTATTTATAGGGACCATTATTGGCGGAAGGTCCCTAAAGTTGGGATTATTCCGAAATAATCGATAGTTGGGATTATTATAAGCGGACCACCAATAGTTGGGATTATTACTATCAATTTTTCCTAATTTCTATTAAAGTCTTATGAAATTGTAAAGAAGCTAATGCCGCTACAGAACTTAAGACTAAATCCATGCCCATGTGCCTAGGGGCAATAGTACTTTCATCTATAGAAAACCTACTGGTGAATCAATTAGCTACTATGCTTGAGTAACCAATGAAATCGTATTAAGCAAACAAGTGTGAATAGAAACTACTGCACATTAGTTTGCCATATCATGTTTGATTTGTGTCCCATAAAAGATACTATCAATAACTGCATATGACTGTACTAAAAGCAACAAATATATGTGTTTGAGGATTTAATCATTTATAGAGTAGAATACATATTGTTGTCAACAAAACTCACAAACCTAGCTTTTTACTCTCCAACCTTACCTAACACCTTCATGCACAATATTGACAAGAGAGACTATATTAGATTAAAAGATTCCTTATTTATGACTATTAGATATAACAATATTTTGCTAACCCTACTTATGTGAGAATTCAAATATCATCTATATTAAGGTTTTAGTGAAACTGATAAATGGAAGTGAAACTAAAATCTGCATATGTCAATTGAAGTGATAAATATCAGTATCAATTGAAGTATCTATATTTACACACCCACACACCCAATCATAAAAATAAATGGAAGTGACCTCATACGTCAATTAATGTGGACAAATGATATATAGTGAAACTAAAATCTGATAAAAATAACAAGATAAAACCTACTTCATAACCACTTTTATAGTTTTACGAGAGGAACTCAGAGGATATTGTGGAACCGACTTGTATAAAAAGTTAAAAACAAGGTAGAAATTTGAGGATAGTAAATGACTTACAACAAAAGGAGGGGCAGAATTGAGAAATTTATATCGACACTCCATGGATCATGGCAATGAATTTATGATCGCAACACTTAGGGAACAATTATAGGGCTCCATAATTATCACTACGGAGGGCCTTCAAATATCAGACAAAGAGTAGCAAGTATGATGATATTGAGTGAAAATAATATTAGAATGAATCAAATCAAAAAAATTGACCTGTTGTAAAAAGCAAAAACACCGATTCAGCGGAGATTGGGATGAGACAACTGGTTTTCTTAACACTGAAAATGGACCAGTCAAATAAATTGACCTATCGTAACACTGGTTTTCAGTCCCAATACATAATAATCTGGCCTATGTATCAATAGAATATGTGGTTGAGCAATCTTAAAATTGCCTCCTCTCCTTGATTCGCATTCTTCTCGGTGACAAATACCAAAAACAAGGAAAATAATGATTAGGTCATGGATTTATGATCATAATGGAATATGCATGATATATTATTCATAAAATATACTCGTATAATTTCGAATATGAAAAACTCGATCAAGACAGCCATACATCGACATCCGTCGGCCACCGTGGTTAGCTATTGAGCATATCTCCAGTCAATGAAAGGCACGGGAACCCCAAGCCAGGATACGGTTTTTGTGTACATATTCATAAACATCGATCTTCCTACCAAAATATTCAATGTTGTTTCTTGTTAGATGTCCGATTGATAGGGTTGGAACTTGGAAGTCGAAAAGATGACGGAAAGAAACACTAACGGAAGACATAAAAATTGAGCTTTAATTAACGGGAGGCATAAGGACCGGATAAAGAAAACATGAATGGTACACCACCTTCAGCAGAATTTACAATTTAATAATGCTATAGAGGTACACCAACAAAATTTTCATGCCCAAAAGGGTATTAACCATCATTCATCTTTATTAGTTTGTAGAGATGTGGTGTTTATGCACTATTAAAATAGTACATATCATACTCATGTAACAACTATGTCTATCAACTTGTCTACTTTTCATGCAACTGCTTCTTCTTCTAATTTTATGTGTTGCATTCTAGTCTTGGACATGTGTCAAACCTTGCCTAAGTTTTTATATGTACATCTGGTCTCCTTTAATTTGTGACTTACCCTTTGATGATATATCTTTTTATAGTGTTGTAAATTTGGAAAGTTTTCTAGTTTTCCTTTAAATCTAAGTGTTTCCATTTCATCTACACCTTTCGATTTAGTTCTTTCTAATGTTTGAGGATCATCAACTCTAATAAAGCCTCTTTTTTATCTTGTGCATACGTATACCGAATTTCAAACATATACGGAATTTCAAACTTATGTGAACACTCAACACTCAATGTCTGTTTACCTTATTATAGGATTCCTACTTCCCACAATATTTAAATTTCTCCATATATATGCTAGGCTTTTTCATCACAATCCCATGTGTACTCATCTTAGGGTGTTTGGTTCTACTTTCTTTGTTTACTGCCCTCATGTAGAACGTACTATGTTTTCTTTTCATGTTGATATTTGTGTATTTCGAGATTATGAGATTACATAGAAAAAGCTATTGTTGTTATGACCTTTCTTCACGAAAATTGTATGTTTTTGAAAGGTGTTTCCTTTATTGAGCCCAATCTTTTCTTTTCTATCCCACCAACCTCACATGACATGTCCATATATGATCTTCCTCAAATTGATCCTTTCACTACTAATTGTGATTATGATCTTGTGCATACACCTATTGTTATGCTTGATTTTTGTTGCAACTTTTCTAACATAGATACCATCTCCCCTCTTACGTACGGTTGTGTTTGCTAATCTAGGTCCACTTCGCTACCCTAAACGTACCTGTCGATTCACTCAAGTTTTAGATTTCTATTGCTCTCTTTATTCTCCATCATTTACCTCATTGCTTGTCAATATTGATTATGTTTGTGAACTGTGAGCCCACTTACTACTCTGGGACAGCTTGCAAACCTCTTTAGCCAGAAGCTATGAATGAGGAACTATCTGGTATTGAACAAAACAGATACCCTGAACTTAGTCTTGGCAAAGTTGAATGAGAGGGAGTTAGTATTATTTATTCCCCTACATAAATTTTTAAGAAACAAAGTTGTCAGTTGTAGTGTACCTAGCTAATTCATCCTCTAGAGCGCATACCTCACTTTGGAATAATATCTCGAGTCTTGATGACTTATTTCCGTTTTTGTTGTCTTCATTCTTTTATGTGCTAAATATCCCCACTTGGAATCTATTCATAGAATATACGCAGGGCCGGCCCAGGACAAGGCTGCCCAGTCCAACCGCACAGGGCCCAGAAATTTGGAAGGCCCAAAAAAATTAGTATTAGAACCCAGCCCAAATTCATGCACCCAACTTTAACCCAACTGCCAAAATCCCCAAGGCCAAACTCCCGACTCCATCTTCGATCATCCGCCCAACCAAACCGCAAACCGTGCCCCACTTCTCAGAAATTAGAAGGACGGCGATTGGATTGGGACGCAAGACAACAGCACTTTTCCGCTGCTCTTGTCGCTGGAGTGAAGTCGTGAAGGCTGGAGCCTAGAAAGAGGAAGACTGGACCGGACGAATAAGGACTGAGCCAGACAACCAGTGACTCAGTGAGCGTTGACCACCAAGTGCCTGCCGCTAGGCCGCCACTGCCCCACTGTAACCCGCCTCCCTTCCGGTCAGTCCATTGATTTTCAATTTTTCTGATTCATTTAGTTGCTAATTTTTGGGAATTTTCGAATTATTGAATTGTTTGTTAAATTGTTGAATTGTTGAATTATTGTAATTTGTTTATTTTCTGTTTTTCTGATTTCATGTTTGTTGAATTGTTGCATTGTTGTTATTTGTTGATTTTTTGCAGTTAAACTAAACCATTAATTGAATTGATAACAAATGTGTAAATGTATTTAGCAATTAAAATTTAAGGAAGTGGTATAAATATATTATTAGGTAACTTCAGGTTGATAAATTATAATTATATTACTATACTAGTATAGACGTATAGTCTTTCATGTTTACACCCTAATTGTAAACTGAATATTAATTTAAAATTTATAAACATGTATAGGATTAGGGGAGAATTTCAATAACTGGTAATAATTATGTTTCCATATAAATACCAATCCGGTCATGAGAAGCGTCAAAGGAAAAGAAGACTTGACGAGTTAACACAGTCTCAAAAAGGAGCTCTTGATAAGTTCTTTGTTAAAGAAGTTAGAGATGTTCAAGAGGGTGAACAACAAGATGTGAATGTTGAAAATAATGTTGAAATACATGATCAGTGTGTTAACGACATGGCTGAAAATCGAGATAAAGAGGGCCGGCCACAGAATCGATCTTTTAGATGATAGGCCAAATAATTCTGTTTTATTTGACATACATGATCCAAGAAATTGCGATGCTCTAGATTCAAAGTTGATAGACATTTTGGTAGAGAATGGTCCAAAAAGAGATTTAAATTTTGTGGAAGGGCCTAAAAATAAATTCTCTAGAAGATTCTTAGCGGCATTTTACACTAGAAGTTTGCCTAATTGAGAGAAATGTGATAGAGACTAGCTTGTTAATTCAAAGGAGCTTGATAGGGTATTTTACTTCTGTTGTAAGATTTTTAGAAAAGGTGTAGGCAAATGTTCTTTAGCCAACACGGGTTTTGATGATTGGGGACATCTTAGTGCTAGACTAAGAGAACATGAAACAGGCCAGGTGTGGAGCATATGGGTAACATGAGGAGCTGGGTATAATTGAGGCTTCGAATAAAAAAAATGAGACAATTGATAAATTAGCTCATGATCAACTTTTGAAAGAAAAGGAGTTTTGGAGACAATTATTGTTTAGGGTGATTGCAACTATGAAATATCTTTCTAAGCATAATTTGGCCTTTCTTGGAATGAATGAGCGGCTCCATCAGAATCATAATTGGATTTTTTTAGGATTAATTGAGATGTTGGGTGAATTTGATCCTATTATTCAAGAGCTTATTCGTCGTGTCGACAATAAGCTAAGGATACTCATCACCATTTTCTTAGTCATAAGATTCAGAATGAATTGATAGAGATGTTTGCTTCAGGAGTGAAATCTAAGATCATTAAAAGAATCAAAGAAGCAAAATATTTTTATGTGATACTAGATTGTACTCCTGATTCGAGTCACCAAGAACAAATGACTTTGATATTAAGATGTGTTGATATCTCCTCTTATCCGGTTAAAATAGAAGAATTTTTCTTGGAATTCTTGGTTGTGAATAACACGACAGGTCTTGGCCTTTTTGAAGTGTTGCAAAGTGTGTTGAAGTCTCTTGATCTTGACATTGATAATGTTAGAGGGCAAGAATATGATAATGGATCAAACATGAGAGGTATGCATCAAGGTGTGCACAAAAGACTCTTGGATATAAATCCTAGAGCATTCTATACTCCTTGCGGTAGTCATAACCTTAATTTGACTTTGTGTGACATTGCTAATTGTTCTCGAAAAGCAAGAGATTTTTTTGGAGTAGTGCAACGAATATACACCCTCTTTGCTAATTCTACAAAAAGGTGGCAAATTTAAAAAAAAAAAACATGTCAAAGAACTCGGTGGGAAAGTCGTGTGGAAAGTGTCAAAGCAATAAGATTTCAAAGCACTGACATTCGGGAAGCATTGCTAGAATTGGCCTAGACAGACAATGATTCTAAAATACAAAGTGAAACTAGATCCTTAGCTACAAATGATCTTTGTAATTTTGAGTTTTGGCTTGCTACAATTATTTGGTATGAAATATTATATGCTATTAATTTGATGAGCTAAAATCTACAAGAAAAGGATATGCTTCTTGATGTTGCTATTGTTGAAGTGAAAGGGTTAATTTCTTTTTTTTTGAGAAGTATAGAGAAAGTGGTGTTTCTAGTGCTATGGATGTGGCTAAAGAAATAACGAGTGAATTGAAAGTTGAACCAATGTTTCCTCAGAAGCGTGTAATCCATAAAAAAACAATTTGATGAGAGTGTTGGTGAATCTTCTATATCATCCACATCAACACCAGAAGAGTTGTTCAGGGTGGAATACTTTGTCTACATAGTTGATCAGTCTATTGGCTCATTGACACGGAGATTTGAGCAATACAAAGTATATGAAAATATGTTTGGGTTCTTGTTCAATTCTGAGAAGTTACAATCTCTTACTGATTCAGACTTGGAGTCATGTTGCACTCATTTATAAACAGTACTGTAGAGGGATGGGCAATGCAGCGATGTTGATGGAAACGATTTGTATATTGAGCTGAAGTTGCTTAGAGAGATTTTGCCAAAAGAAAAGATGGGGGCAAGAATTTTGAATTCTTTAAAAGAAATGAATTGTTTTCCAAATGCTTTTATTGCGTACATGGTTTTGCTAACCATTCCAATTACCGTCGCCTGAGCAGAACGAAGTTTTTCCAAGTTGAAGTTGTTGAAGTCCTACTTGCGATCAACTATGTCACAAGAGAGATTCAATGGATTGACAGATATCCATAGAATTTGAAACACTCGAAGAGATTGACATTTCAAGTTTGGTAGATAACTTTGCATCTAAATTTGCTCGAAGAATGTCTCTTTTTAAATAAAATGTAAGTTATTAATGACTTTTTTTTATTTTTATCATTACGTTTATTAGTAACTTGTATTTTAAGACAATTTGCTTGTGTTAGAACTTAAAAAAAGCCCAAATTTTATACGTAGTATGGAAGTTCAATTTTAATGTTATTATTATTAACAAAGTCGAGCATGTTCGTTGGATCGGATAATTATAATTATCCAAAATGGGTGGATGGTTAGAAAATGATAATTGAACAACAACATTCCGAATCAATGTAATTTCTATCTTTAGTTTTAATTATTACTCCCTAATATAGAGTACTACCTCCGTCCCATTTTATGTGTCTCCTTTAGTTTTGGCACAATTTTTAATAAAGTGTTTGATAAGGTAAAAGTTGTGGTTGAGATTTGAGTATAATAAAATGAAGTTGTGTGAACCACATATTTCTTTCCAAAAAGGGAAATGTGACACTTATTTTGGGACAACTCAAAAAAAAAGTAAGACAGGTAAAATGAGACATAGAAATTTAAAGTTAGCTTTGCTATCGATTAATTTTTCCCAATGTTATTTCTAACTCCTCCGTATAATTATATTTTAATTATTACTCCGTAATATAGAGTATAGAGTTAGCTTTGCTATCAATTAATTGTATGTGAAATTGTGAATCAAGAACATTATCATGAACTCTATGTAACGCATTTATGTAAAATCTAGAAATAATAATAGTTTAAACATTCTCTCAAAAAAAACAAATAGAGAACTTTGAAGGCTTATGGAAGGGCCACGCCTCATCACTCGCAGCTAGCATTTATTTATTTATTTAAGAGAAAATGGATCGGAGTGCTAGCTGCATATACTCCATCCATCACTAGCTAAATCTCTCTATATACGAAGTATTAAGTATATAATAATAATTAATATTAATATGGAGTATGTGAGATGGAGTTTATGGCCTAATTAAACATGCATTGACCACGTGGACATATGCACCCTAGCACCTCCATAGTTTATCTAGGTCAGCTATCTTCAGTACGTGGTTTGCAATTGTACGTAGACCATTTTATGTTCACTCATTTTGAGTCATTATAATTGATTGCGTTTTGGAAAATATTGTTTTCCACGTACGTAAGCGGGAGATTTTTTAATCATGTTGGTCAAACCAACCAGCAGAGAAACTTTTGACTGAGTTTCACGATGTTTAGATGGATAGCTCGTTGCTAGCAACCACTGAGGACTAGTTTGGGACGAGAGATTAGGATGAGTGTGATCAAAATACAACTTAATTACACTTTTTTAAATAATTGTTCATTCGATTTTGGATAATCCTCAGAAATAGATCTAGTGTCATCATTTTGTTATGAGTTGTTTTATGGAATCATATGCGACTCTCTTATGAAATCATATGAGGTAACATGACATTGATCATCTCCACTGTGGTGGGGATGATGCCACTTTACCCCATATATAATGACTCTAAAGAAAAGTTACATGTTAATTGTTCCGTAAAATTATACTATTATATTGACTAATGAGGGTATTGTGTATTTGATTATCGTACATATATCATATTCTCTCATTTCCATAAAATTCTTCCAATTTAATTTCAATTCGACTTTATGAAAGTGAGAATAAAATGAAAATTTACGATTATAATTGAGTAAAAAAAATGTATTAAATATTAGTCACACAAAATTTTCCGAAAAAAAGAAATGAGAATAAATTTTTTGAGACATTCTAAAATAGTAAGTGAGATGAGAAGAAATATATAAATAAGGATATGCATGCATACTTCTTCCATGCCGTTGTGCACACAGTTCATGCAAGCACACTATAGCCAATTCGTAGTTGGCAATATATAAATTTGGGTCAAAGCTTTAATTAATAATAAATTAAAGAACTTCATTCATTAAATTAGCATGCAGCTAGCTAAGCTTAATTTAAAATAAAGCCTTGGGGATAATGTCGGGTCAAACTGGTAAGAAATGATATGATCTGATCTTCATAATTAGCACTACAGCAGCCAGCCCACGGGCGGATATATATATATATATATATATATATATATATATATATATATATATATATACATAAATATATATATATACATATATATAGGTTTTGGTTCAAATAAGAACACGATCTTATGAGAGAAATGAGAACAAATCTGGACCGTTAGATTTGCTTCAAGTGAAATTCAGTGTGCATTAGATGAAACTGTAATGTGCATTAGGTGAAATTGAAATGTGCATCACAAAGGGCACGATAGAGTGACATTATGTGCGGTTGAATTGTGCATTACGTGAAATTGAAATGTGCACTAGGTGAAGCTGAAATGTGCAGAATAAAAAGTACGATGTGATGTTATTTTTATACTTTTTTGTTCGCACATATCAGTTTCATCTAATGCACACTTGAGTTTAAATTTTCATTTTGCACATTTCAATATCATTTAATGCACATTTCAGTTTCACCAAATGCATTATTTGGTTCCACATAATACAATCCAACGGTCCAGATTCGTTCTCATTTTTCTCCTAAGATCTGTTCTTACCGGAACCGCTCTCCCTATATATATATATATATATATATATATATATATATATATATATATATAGAGTAATCTTCCGGTCAGGTATACCTGACCGGAGCCGCTGTCCGGCCTCCTTCTTTTGGGGGCCTTCCCGGTGGTATTTTTTGCTCAAATTTTTTGTGTATGTTCCTCATCAAGTCTAGTTCATCCATACCAAATTTCAGAAAAAATTCAATCGGGAAGGTCGTCAAATTATTTTTGCAAGTCAACTGGTCCGGAAAATACATATTCCGGACCAGTTAACTTGGAAAAATCATTTTCTGACCTTCCCGATTGAATTTTTTGCTGAAATTTGGTATGGATGAACTAGACTTGATGAGGAACGTACACAAAACATTTGAGCAAAAAATACCACCGGGAAGGCCCCCAAAAGGAGGAGGCCGGACGGCGGTTCCTGTCAGATATACCTGACAGGAACATTTGTGTGTGCGTGTATATATATATATATATATATATATATATATATATATATAGAGAGAGAGAGAGAGAGAGAGAGAGAGAGAGAGATAAGATCATGTGAGAAGTCCCCCTTAGGTTGAGAAGCTGCGAAGTCTAACTTATAAGCTAATAACACGAACTTTTAACCAATAAATCATAACTTATAGACCCCCTCCAAAAAAATTACGAAAATGTCACCGCGTCAAAATAACTCCGGAAACCTGAAAAAAAAATTGACGCGGTGGCATTTTCGTAATTATTTTTGAGGGGGTCTATAAGTTATGATTTATTGGTTAAAAGTTCGTGTTTTTAGCTTATAAGTTAACTTCGCAGCTTCTCAGCCTAAGGACATTTCTCACCTGATAACTTTTATATATATATATATATATATATATATATATATATATATATACAGAAAAGATCAGGTCCCTCCGGAGGGACGGGAGGGACCGTCCGAACTTTACTGTTTGGGGCGGTTCCCGGTGGAATTTTTTGATGAAATTTTTTGAGCATGTTCTTCATCAAGTCTAGTTTGTCCATACCAAATTTTAGCTCAAAATTCGACCGGGAAGTCAGTCAAATAAATTCTTGAAACTTACTGCACTTTATATATGCGCAGAATGTGCAGTAAGCTTCAAGAATTTATTTGACTGACTTCCCGGTCGAATTTTGAGCTGAAATTTGGTATGGACAAACTAGACTTGATGAGGAACATGCTCAAAAAATTTCATCAAAAAATTCCACCGGAAACCGCCCCAAACAGTAAAGTTCGGACGGTCCCTCCCGTCCCTCCGGAGGGACCTGAGCAGTCCTCTATATATATATATATATATATATATATATATATATATAGTAGAAAATTTGGAAGTCCAAAGGGGGCGGTCACCCCCGCGCCCCCCTTGGATCCGTCCCTGTATAGTTGCATACTAAGTACGTATAATTTTATGGTTGAGGGGCATAACCCTGTCTTAATCGAGATATCATTTGACAAAGGAGAATATTAACACGATATATCAAAGTAGGTTATGTCGGAATTAAATGACATTTGTATTAACACGATATATCATTAAGTAGGTTATGTTGGAATTAAATGACATTTGTATAACTTAATTAAGGATGTTTTTACTTGAACTGTTTTTAGTCCCAAACCAGAACAAACCAGATCAGACTTCCGTAGTTATAAAATACACAGAGAACATACATTTATCAGATTAGACTAGACCAGTTCAGACCAGACTTAAACAGACCAGATCAGACATTATGCCTACTTAGAATGTTTTTACTTGGACTGAAATTTGCTGGTCTGTTTAAGTCTGGTCTTGTCTAATCTGGTAAATGTCTAGTCTCTATGTACTTTATAACTACGGAAATCTGGTCTGGTCTGATCTAGTCCGGTCTATTTAACACTACCGAAAAAAACGCATTTTTGGCACGACAAATTGGCACGTCAGGCATGCGTGCCATGTTAGGCACAACTTCGTCCCAAAAATTGTGGGCATTTGAACTGGCTCCACATTTGGCACAACGAGAGCCGTGCCAACGTCGGCAGATCAACGTTCGTGCCAAATACCCGTCCGAAGTAAACGGAAGCGAAACCCGGTAACGTTGCCGTTATAACCTTGGCACGGCTTTAGCAGTGCCAAAATTTTTCCGTTCATGGACGTGCCCAAGGCCGTGCCTAATCTGTTCCTATGTCGGGCCCAAATATTACCGTTAGCACGGTCGTGCCTGACCTTTTCTTCATCTTTGTTCGCCGTTTCTTGCTCTAAATGCTCCTGGATGCCTACGAGGTCGATCCAATTGCTCTTTCTTCATCAGAATTTCGTCGTGAATCTCCCGGTGACCTCCAAATCTCTCAAATCTTTCTTGAATGCCTTCAAATCCTTCCCGAATGCCTCTCAAGCGCCGATTGCCGGACCCTAACTTCTTCAATTCAACTCCAATTGCAAGGAAACTCGATCCAACGCCTGATAATCACAACTTGAGCTAAAATTGAGACTTGCAACGCCTTAAAGCTAGGAAAACCATCAAAATTCAACTCCAACACGCATCAAATGCGTGTTTAAATACGGACTTATCAGACAAGGATCTAGATATCTCT